GTTCCATCCAAGAAGGCCAATATCAAAAGTAAGACCTAATGTTGATCATCTTCAAGGTGGAGTATCTGGCTCCAACAAGAAGGCCAAAGTAGGTAAAGACTTCTGAAGTTGATCCAATTCCAGGAGGAGTATCTGTTCCATCCAGGAAGACCAATCCAAGAGTAAGACCTGAGTTGAAAGGCAGGTAAGGTTGATAAAAGAAAAAAATCTGAATTCAAAGTCCAAAAGAATCTGAGTCCAATGTCCAAAGAGGAAAGTCTGAGATGCCAAAGTGGGAAAAAGCCAAAATCCAAGGTCCAGAAGGAGTCCAGAGAAGTAAGAAGGTTTCTAATAATATGTAAAAGTAATATATCCAATAAAATAAACTATGTAAAATATCTTATATTCAATCTAACTGAGAAATCTGAGTAAATCTGGGGGTTCAATCTGATTATCTCTAATTCTGAAACTACACAAGTATACACCAAAATCTGAAGGAGTTGAAGATATGTAATAACACAATAAAGGTGTAATAAAGGGGGTGATTTAAATTAACTACTCCTGAAAAAGGCTACTAGTGGTGATCAGAAATATGAAAGATAATTGATGGGTAGAATGGCCCAAGATAAGGAGGTGGTGAGAGGTGGAGGATACATGGAAAATTCCATTGAGCAAAATATGCAAGGTTGGTTGAGGGTGGAGTTTAAAGTGAAAAATATGCAATGAGTTGAGGAAGGGATTAGGCAAAATATGCAAGGTTTAGTAGAGATTTAAGTGCAAAATATGCAAGAGTAAACTATCTGGATAAAGGAATAATCTGGTGATGAATTGGGGGAAATTCTCAAAGATGTGGTGAATGAAGAGTAAATTGATGTCTTTTGTCCATGGTGGGTGAAAGAATGAATCCATGGATTGTTGAATAATTTTCATTGATGGGGGTGAAGGAGTGTAGGTGCCGTGCCATGCCTGATGAGTTATGGTTTGGTGATTGGTAACTGGGTTATTTAATGAATGAATGATTTCTTTTCCAAAATGTAGGGTGCCTTTTTTTCTTTATTTCCTGAAAGGTTGAGCCATTTAAATAAAAATTGATTGGAAATTGAATTTTTACATTGCTGGCCAAATTAGGTGGAGGTGAAGTTGAATGGAATCCTAATTGAGAAGCCCAAGAGTTGTCCACAAGAGAAATTTTCTGAAGGGGAACATGATTGAAGAGTTGTAATTAAAAGTGGAGGCCTCCAAAAAAGGTGTGAGTGGTGATGGCAAAAGAAAAAAAAACCCAAAGCAGAATCCAAAATGATGAGGGGATTGGTGTCTGAGGTGGTGGGCTGTGCTGAAAGAATCTAAATACAAAATTAAACCAGGAGGGAAAATGATGGTGTATTTACTGGAGGAAAATATGCTGAGGTCTGAGTCCTAAGCAAGGCCTGAACTCTCAGAGGGAAAAAAATACCAACTGCTTCTGTCCAGACTTTTCTGCTGGGGCCCTGAACAAAGGCCTAAAACATGGAAACAAACATGGCCAAGTATGAGAAGTGTTTGCGCGGCCCCGTTCAATCTCATGCTAACTCCAATGGGAATCCGAGTAAGACACTGGCAAAATTTGCCGGAAAGGTTGAGAACGTGTTGGTCGAGCCAACAATCAAGGGAGCTGGAAGATGCTGTCTGAATCAGAGAGTGTGTTGCTGGCAGAAATCGCCGTGCCGGCCTCTTAACCGCGTCAAGTTGTTAGATGAAAACAGATGCTTGGTTCAGGTCCTTGGGAGATTGTAAATGAGAGTCTGCCCAAGAAGTAAGATATACATATGTATACAAGTGTGGGGTCGCACACCAGGGTCGGAAGGGAAGAGAAATCTTGTACAGTCTGGATCAACCACCAGCATCGAAAACGATTGTTGTTTTTAGGACAGAAAGAAAAGAGATAACAACTGTCAGTCGAGGCGTTCCTTGAAAAAAGAAATCTGTTGTAGAATCCGATTTGAAATTGTTAAACGACCAAAAGCAAGCTTAAGGAAAAGAATAGGTCTTGCCGGTCGACCAATTCTTTGTCTAGGAGTTCTTGTTACAGTTCCTTGTCTGTCCAAGGTATACACAATCACGGCCATTGAAAGGTAGTCCGAGTTGAGCCCCAGAGTCAAAAAAGCACAACCTCTTCCAAAAGATAAAAAAGACAGCCAAAGAGAACAAAAAGCCTCAGCAGTTGAGCCGTTCTTGACCAAGAAATTGAATTGAAACCAGATTTGAAGGCAGAGAAAATAAAGTACAGTCCCGTTTGAACACAGGTGTCAAACGGCCGTTGTAAGACTCAAAAAGTGGCTGTAAGACCCTTTTTGCTGAATTGAGAAGGGGATGATGGATGGAGTGTAAGCTCTGTCGTTCTATACTATCAGATAAAAAGACCCACCAAGCTCAGCTTGGCAAGTTTTAATCAAGTGATATGGTAAAGTTCAGGAGTGAGTTTGTGTGATGAAGAGTTGTTGATTTGGTTTGGTTGGCGCTTTAAAGTGTTTGTGTAAAGGTGGTCAAATATTGCTTGAGTGTTACTTGACTGAGGATTTAACAACTGGGAGGAGAGCCTCCTTATATGGACAACAGTGAGGGAATTTAGCTCCAGGGCAGCCATGTCAGCCTCTGGGTAATAACCTGAGTATTTAATAGTAAAAAGGTTGTTACTATGAGTTGACTGAAGTTTTTGAGTGTGGTGAGTGTTAGGTAGTGGGTGATTAATACCAGTCCTGTAAAGAGGAGGTTTCACTCTATCAGTATGGTCTTTACTGAGAGGCTTGCTATCAACAGCGCATCCGGATCAATACAAGGTATTAATAGGCATCCAGGGTACTAAGACTCACCTGGGATTGATTTGGTTATTCCCAAAAGGGAATGGGCTAACAATACTTATTAAGCTTTAACAAAATTAGTTGAAGATTAACAGGTATTGTTGATGGGAATATTCAGCAAGGCTATGAATACTCAGGATAAGTTGAGTAAGAGTACTGAAGCTTAAGAACAATAAATGTAGACAAGATTTATGTTGGTTACGTGTACTGTATCAATATAAATGTTAACTGGTTTAACTGGTGTCTGAATATTCTGGGGATTAATCAGTGAAAGAGGCACAGATTATAAGTTCCAGAATATTGCAGGAGGGAAAGAATGAGCGCTCAGAATCAAGGGAGCTTTGGCCAGGAGAATGAGCACATCAATGGAGTGACTGATCATTATTTGTCATGATCTGTAAGTGACATCATAATTGTGTACTAGTTGATCAATGTACTAGTAGCTCTTGATGCATGTACTTAGCAGCTCCTTTAATAATGTAGTCATAATTGTGATCAGTGCATGTATTGAATGTATTAATTCTATTGACACTTAATACTTACTATTTAATACATGTACATATTTATTTGTAATAATATTTGACCGTGAAAAATACTGTAGAAGAGGGATAACTTGTGGTACAGGTATTTCACGGACAAAGGAGTGAAACTTAAGTGATAATTACTTATGTAGAACACAGATATGTATTTAATAGATAATTAATTAAAAGATAAGATAAATATAAGATAAATAAGATAAGCTAATAATGAAGATAAGATAACAAGAGGTAAAGGTAATCAACATTATGGATAAGTACTTATGTACATAAGTACAGGTGTTGCAGTTACTTGGTACATGAAAGGTACTGTGACATGTACTCTGTGGCTGACAAGCCAGCAATGAGTGATTTTGGCTGGCCTGGGCTATTACATGAGGTATTTTAGCTACACACAAAATTTGAATGAGTGAATATGATTGGTCAGACATGTACAAGAGTTGAAGTGGTGATCCAAACAGCTGAATGAGTGATTCCAATTGGTCAGGTTCTGATGTGTTTACAAGTGAGTGTGGTGGTGTAAGCTGCAGCTGTCATGCAAGGAAAATACACTAATTTAGGCTGCAGGTATGATGTAATATGTAGAAGTGAAATGTAAAGAGTGTATGTGTAAATGGGGTTTGTACTGCACTGAGGGTGTCTGTGTAGCTTGAGGGTTGTAATTGGGATTGGTGACATGTAGTGATGAGTGAAATCCTTGTGATATGTTGTCCATTGTTGGATAAGAGTTGATCCAGGTGTGTTCCAGTGACACCTCCGTGGTGACCAAGGGTGAATTTGTCCATAAAGTCCAGTTCTTGAGCCGCATGGTGTGATTTCTTAGAGTGATTGGGTGATAATATGAAGAAAATATATATAAGAAAAAAAAGAAAAAAAAAAAACTTTGAATTTTCACATTTTTGACTACCACACCGTCCTTGTCACAAAGCCGAATTGAAACTCTGGCCGAGGTTGCCAAGCAGCATGTAAAGTGACCTTTTTTTTCCAACATGGAGAAAGTTGAGTAAGGATGTTTGATAAAGTGTTTGAAAAAGAGAAACAATAAAAGCAAGACCAAAAAAATTATAATGTAAATAGATTGAAAAACAAGTCTTCTCGCCAGCAAGAAGTCCAAATACGCGATGCAGCATAGGTTGAGTTAGAAGAGAGCCAAGTTTGAAAAAAGAAAGAGAATCCCCAATGAGTGTAGTGGTTGGTTGTTTGTCAACAGTCAGTCTTTGAGAGTCCAGTGCTAAAAAACAATCCAAGAGAGGCTATTCTGAAACCAAGTTTTGAAAAATATTTAAATATGCTTGATTCCTCTTGTCCGGAGAAATTGGGAAGGCATGCTCAGCACCTGTGGAATCTAAAATTGAAAGTTTTGGCGCCAATGGATTGCTGAGGTCGATGTCGGCCAAAAAATCATTCAAGAATGGCTTCCCCAGGATGATAGGACGTATCCTTGGAGTGAATAGAAAAGAGATTGTTTCAAAATTCCCTTCCAGCGATAGAGAGGCCAAAGCTATTCCGGTTATTTTGATGTCATCGTCACAAACCCCAGGCAGCAGAATGTCTTGAGGATGTACTTCTAAGTACAAGTCTTCAGAGATAAAGTTGAAAAGCCATCCTGGGTATAGCAATCCTTCACAGTTAGAGCCATTCAACCTGACTTTAATTGATCCAGGAGAAGGAAGATCATCGACTACCTGGCGGTTGGTTTCTTCTGTTGTTTGAGCTGAAGAAAGAATGACTTTTCCAAGGTCCTCTTCTATTGTTGATTCTTTGGTAGCTGCGGTTGAGGAAAGGGAGTAGCTGAAGTCTGTAGATGGGGGAGGCAAGATGACAGGTTGATGATTATGAGTAGCAGAAAAGGTGTTCACTATTTCTTTAATGGGCCTCCAGGGATCCACGAGTATTGGTGAGCTGTCTGAGAGCCAAAATTCAGAGCCAATTCTTTTGATTAATCCCTTTTGCTGATCATAGCTGACTATATGACACCTGGAAATGGTGTGACCTTTCTGGAAGCAGTATAAGCATTTGAAATTCTTGGTGGATCTTGCAGGAGGTTTGCTGGAAGGGTTGGTGGAAGGAATGAGGGAGTGGCCAGCCATGATTGAGAGGATTGGGAATTTCAAATAGAAAGACTAGGGTGCAAAGATGACTATTGTGGGTTGATGAGTAATTAAGGTGAAATACTGGGAAAGGAAAGAGGAAAATAATTATTGTGGGTTTACAGATACTAGAGTGAGTGATAAGAAATCTGTGCTAGAGGTTTATAAGACTGAAGAATAAAGAGGAATTCAGCCACTTTTGGGACACCACTTGTGGAACTGCTGAACAATCAGAAACAGAGCTTGGAGGGGAAATAGACAACTAAACTACGAATAATGTAAGTTGAGGCTATGGGTGCTGTTGAGGCTGCCCTCCTGTATAATGCTGGAGTTGGGAAGAGTTACACTAAGAAAAAGAAGTAAGGTGTGGTGTGAATTCTAGTAATTCTTAGTGAGTTCTAGGACAGGGAGGTGTTATAAAGGTCTAGTGATAATACCACAGAGTGTATGAGGAGTGGTGAGGAAGGAGGATTGTGGAGTAATGATTAAGGTTCAAAGGGTATGAGTCAAATATGCAGAGGTGGTCAAAGGATAATGTGCAAAATATGCAAGGTTTCTGAGGAATGAGTGCAAAGTATGCAAGGAGTCACTAAGGGGCAAAATATGCAAAAGAGGGGGAAAGAAAATATTACTAAATTATGTCTGGCAAGGTATGCATTGATTGTTGTATGTATGTTGCTGTATGGTATATGTATCTCTATCTCTGGTTCCCTACATGTATCAATATATATATATATATATAAATAACTATTGATCCAGTAAGAAATGAAATATGGCTTGAGTGAGTCACTGTATGTAAAATGAGGTGTATAATTTGAATATGTCATAATAATGAAGGAAAAACAAGTGAATATACAGTGAAATAATAGGCCTATGTAAAGGCATGGGTTGCCACAGCCGCAACCATCTCTGAACTACCTGTCTGCATAGGATTCAAAATGATCCATATTCAAGTGTCCCTCCAAGTGAACGACGGCCCCTAGTGGCATCTATACAACCTTCTGGAAATCCAATTTGTTTGTGATGGCAACCGTAAGCTCGATGATTTTGCGATGAAACACTTGATGGAGCTGTGGAAACAATCACAGAGAATACAAGGGAGATCAGCACATGAAAGTGAGAGAGAATAGAAAATGTAATACTCACAATCTGAACTAGAGCTCTAATGTAGCTATTGTAGCTGAATCCAGCTTTGCCATAACATCCACCAACCAGATAGTTGAGGTGTTCCATTACACCATGAATGTGATCTTGGGTCAGGTTTGATTCTCCAAGTTTGGCTATGATCTCATGTCCAAGGGATATTAATTCTTCTGCTAGGCTCTCTTGTTGCTGGTGTTGATTGGTACTGAGGTTGGCAGTTGAGGGCATTGTATCTGCAAAAAGAGAAAGTCAGAACGCACACTCCAAGGAGTTAGAGAGCTTTGGAAGTACAATTTGAGCAACATTTTCCGAAATAAGCATACCTTATTTCCCAAATTAAATTGCTATAATATTGAAAACGGGTTTGGGATCTTTTGAAATACTAGATATCTGGGGGTAATACAAAAACGTTTAAGGAATATCAAGAGAAAGTCAGTTGAACTTGAAATCCACTCAGATTATAGTAGTACCCACCAAGATGTGTGTTCAGTATCACTGAACTTTGGTCCTTTGTGAGTTGCTACACCAAGTCAGGTAAGTGGTCTGGTTCTTGGATTAACTCTTGAAAGGAATAACTATTTACATAAGCCTTTTTATTGGAGGTTCGGGGGCCTGACCTTGCATCCTGGAGGCCGCACCTCCTTGAGGGGTGTCAATTTTTCCCTTGAGGGAGGTCACAAATCTTGTCGGATTTTTCTTTTTTTTTTTCTTAGGTGCTTCTTCAGACCACCTTCAATTCCCACTTCCCCACCTCTTGTGTGGCACATTCCTCTGGTTCCATTTAGAAGGGTTTCTGTGCTTAATATGCATTATTTTTGCCTTTGAAAAGAGGCACCAACATCATACATATGGCCTCAAATTCAGAAAATCATTTTAACTTGTGAATGAGATAACTGACCTAAAGAAACCCCTGTGAAAGAAACATTATTTTGGGTCAAAGGTAAATAATCAGAAAATTTATCATTCCACAGACACCAATTTCCTGTTGTTGCATGTTTTGGTATGGCAATAAAGAAGAGCTCAGACAATAATATCAAGAATTTAGTTTCAATTTTGAAATTCCAATTCTTTGTTTATGGTCAACCACATCCAGATTTTGATTTTTCTCAGTTGACTAATCCCAGAAATATTTTATTTGTGCAATTATTTCCTCCCCAGAATTTCTTCATAGAAGTTAATAGATGTGCATTTAAATTGTATACGGACTGAAATTACCTTTATAACATTTCATACAACCAAGACTGATGTTAGTCCAAAATAGTAAATACCAGATGAATTTAAGAGATGAAGTTAGGATGAATGTAAATTCTATTATTGTAGACATTCAAGTATTGTTTATCAAAAATTCATCCATTTATAAAGTCGCTCCTCATTTGAAGGTTACCAAGCTTCAAAAGTTAAGATTTTTTTGGAGAGAAACAGGGCTCAGATCTTATTGAGAGGGAGTGTGAATCCTTGGACTTTCTTGGATATGAATCAGGTTTTATGGTCATTGAATACCTTACAAAATTTTGAACCTCACATGAAACAGAGTTTAAAAATTTCACATCAAGTATTGAGATGAAAGAAGCATCCAAACCAAATCAAGTTCCTCTTATTTCACACAGGAATCCATAAAAAAAAACAAGTGAGCCAAGTGTTAGACTCTGTATAAATGACTGAAAGAATTATTTTGAATGGGATTAGATTTGGTTGGACTAAGGCCAGTGATGAGGTGTGCAGGCCATCGTTAGGCAAAAAGATTAGAGAAATGACAGCTTTGATGATTGAAGTCTCTTTCAGCAATGTTGCAAGGAGTTGTGAACCATACATAGACCCAGAGAGATCAATCAGAGCATCAACTAAAGGAACTCGGATGGTTAACACTGCATTGTTGAGCAAGGTGATAGTAGGTTCAAGAAAAGAATTTGGAGGCCTTCCTAGAGGGAGCCACGAGATATTGGCAAGGTGGTCAATGTGGGCGCAGTGAGACAACAAACGTATGAGGAGGGAATACACCTTCATGAAGTACTGATTTGATTCTGAATAATAATTAGAAATGTTGTAAATCTTAATCCAAACTGGTTTGGAAATATGAATACTGAGATGTGAGACATCAACCAATTTTAACACATCCTTGTTGGTCTTAGATGTAGTCTCACTAAGCTAATGCAGAACAACAGATAAGTTCTCAAATTCATGAAACACTATCTTTTCACTGATCAGTTTGGCTTGAGGTTGGACTTTTGCCCACTGGCCTATCTTATGCCAGCTCTCATACCAACGGTGGGCCGCTACACTAACCGTAGCGGTTAGTGTAGCGTAAAGCAGCAGAATTGCTGTTAGCAATTAGCGTAGCGTAGCGGAATTCCGCCACGACACCGCTAACGCTACGCGTGTGGGCCGCAAAAAAGGGCCCACTACGCAGCTCTTCAGTGGTTTTTAGCGTTTTTTGGCCGCTTTTTCCGCTAAAAGCGCTGTAGCGCAGCGTAGCATAGCGAAAAACTGCTAAAAAACCGCTAACACTACGGTTTTTGGATGAAAAAAAAGCGCCGCTACGCTATGCTTTTTGGGCCAAAAGCGTAGCGGCCCACCGCTGCTCATACGCTAGATCAATGATAAATGGAAGCAAGACGCTTAGAAATTGCTGGACCCGGGTGCAGGCTATTGCAAGCTCTGGGGGCAAGTTGGGTGACTTGTTGTGAGGATTGAAGATACAAGAACAATGTCCAAAGTTGCCAGTTTATCTGACACTTCTTCTGCCATTGTCCAGGAATACAAACCCAACTGGCGCAGTAGTTTAGCCCAGCAAGCATAGAACTTTGGAAGGTGCTCTCCAGAATTGGTTATGTGGTCGAGGATTAGTTGAGTGCTGCTGTCATTGGGGTGCTGATTCAAGGGGGAGTGGTTGGAAGAAAATTGAGTACATTTCTTGCTAGGTTGTGAGGTAGAGGTGGAAGCATTTGAGGAAGGAAAAGGAACAGTAATTATTTTGGATTTTGATTTGAAACCATTAGCTTGCTGAAAATAGCTGTTGTGACCTGTTGATGAGCATGCCTACTTGCAGAGCTGATCGAGCTACTTTTGTGGCTTCTGAGCTTTTTAGGATGAATGCTTCCGGTTTCAATCTCAAGCCCATTTTCAACTTGTTTGTCATGGCAGTCTTTTTGCAAATTAAAAAAAATCAATACATTGATTGTAGATTTGAATCAACTCAAGAAGAAAGACATAGCATACAGACATAACATACCATCCACAATGAGGCCAATCATCATGCTTGTTGTGGTGAGCCAAATCAAAACTTCCAAGCCTCAATGCACTGCGCAATTAGGACAAGAAGACCCCAAACACCTTGGTCCTCAGGCCAGACAGCAACCTCAAGGCACCCAGACCACATGTGGGGGAAGAAAGTCCCATCTCAGACAGAGCCAGGGTATTAGGAACCCTCCTTGTTTTCTCTTGTTTCTTTCTTTCCCTTCCTGGAGATACTGCATATGCACTCCTCTTTCTCTTATCTCTCTGTTTCACACTAATGCACCCACTTGGGGATTAGTATCTTACCTCTATGCATGTGCCTGCATGTGGCTATACGTGTTTCAGACTTATGTACCCATTTGAGTAAGCAGGCTATGTCATTGTCTCCTCTTTGGTCTTAGCAGCCACCCTCTGGGCCATAGTGTTTCAGTTTGATATTTTTCACTTGTTCTTTTTTCTCAAACCACAAGCTGGCCACTCCCCAGATTTTGTATATAAGGAGCCATGTCAGCTTGCTACTATGGCAGAGACAACCTGTCATAAGCAAATAAAATAATAAATTACATAAAAAATCTAAGTATAAAGTAAAAATATTACATAAGTAAAATAAACACTATTGCTTATGTAAATAATATAAAAACACATAAAAAATAGAATCAACTTAGGAATAATATATGATTATTATTGCAGATTCTGAATCTACATACAATTTAACCTAGAGTACCTTAGCCAAAGGTACCCCTAATTGTAACTCCTTCATCCAGTAATACTCACTTGAATAATTAACGGGTGCCCATAGATCAAGGGCACCTGAATAATTATGCATCACACACAACAATAAGCATATACTGCAAATCTTGTCTCATATTTGGAGTGTTGTGTATAGTTTAGAAGATAGAGTTGAGTGGCATGTATTGTCTCCAACTTCCAAGCCCCCGTGCTGCGTAGTCATGCTTCGCACTGTTGACAGGCGCGCTTGACTACAATTGAGCCCAATACTCAAGCCCCCACGCGTACTAGATATGCATAACCACCTTGGATACACGCATAAAACCCCCCTGGGTTACCAGTATCCAAGAAATGGGCCACAAGCTCCACGTAACAGACTAACCCCTACCCACAGGCTCCTAAGGGATATTCTTGGTTCAAATAAATTCGTGCATGACCCCTTGGAGCTTCTAGAATATTATCCCCAAGGTTTCAGCCCTTGTTGTGTCACCATGTGGGCTAAAATGGGCCCAAAAGCGCTCCCAAGACCTACTAAGCTCCCCTGAGCAACCCCTGAGGCCTTCCACAGGTATTTAAAGGGCCTTCTGACCGCCCAAATAATGATCCCCCAGCTTTACAATACTATATAGAAACATACTTACCATTTACAAGTCCCCTACACTTGTAATTAGCCTAGTTATTACTATTTTTACTGTTATTAAGCCTCAAGATTCCTCAAAGAAATTCCCCAGTTATCACACAGCACCCAAAATCAACCATTCTGAGCGCTCCCAACTGTCCAGTTTCTACTAATAATATCCTCAAGACCCCTTTGGATTATTACTAGTAAGTAATAACCCTTTCTTGAAGATTTTCACTAAAAATTAACTCCTGGGATTTAAACCACACCTGCTACAGGCCCCAGTGTACCAGGTACCTAAATCCTCTGCTTTTTGCACAATACCTTAGAGGGATTAAACCACCCCTGATTTATCAGGCCACTCTGGTTTAATTTATGTTAATTTTATTAATATAAATTAGCCAATTTTTGGATTTTATCCATAAATTCTACGTAATTCTTCTGAATTACTTATACCAGTTTTATCCCTGAGTTTTTACCATAAAAATTCTTACTTTTTGCACCTTGTGTAGCTAGAGGAGACGTGTCTTGGCATCACATAGTCTGAAAAGCCATGTTTTCCCCTCATCATTTGTTCCCTCATCAGTTCCCTGACGTGCAGCCTGGTCACATAGTTAGCTTATAGTTTTTAGACATAGTTAGCTTA